GAAATGAAAAGCTGGATTGCAGGAAAATTTGAAAGCAGTGATACTAGAATTGTGTTTAGAGATAAGCGTGATACAGAGGAAGATGTCGAAGTTAGCTCCAAATAGTCTTCCCTGGAAGACTGAAAAAAATGACCACAACACTGGCTTAAATAGTGTTGCTCGTGGGAATGGATGAGCAGATAAGGATGGTATCTCTTAGCGGGTGTGGTCTGTCCCTCTGTATTTAATATTCCGTGTAGCGCACTGCAGTACCTTATGCATGTGAAAAAGGCTGTGAAGAACTAAGTAGACATGGCCCTCAGTGACTGAATATATACAACTAGATGAGAGTAAGCGACGGGATTACAGGCGAGGAGAGGAAGTGGAGGTGCCCTGCTTTGTAACCCCAGAGCCTGGTTTGGTGTTCGGCACAAAACTGGCCCTCAATATTTATTGAACAAAGGTTCGTGAGCCCTTTGCAGAGATGTGAAAGCAGACTTTTACTTGCTAAGGTTCAAGGACATCCTTTCTTCCCCATGGCCTGCACCGCCCGCCCACCGTTGCCTGCCTCAAAGGAAACAATTCCAAACGTACCCCGATTTAGGGATAATTACAAGAGGAGGTGGAGTTTCACTAGCTCTGTGTGTATGTGTGTGTGTGTGTGTGTATACAGCGCGTTCTAGATCTACGATACCAAGGAGGAAGTTGACGATTTGTCACGGAATCAAAGTCGCTACTAATTTTGCACCAGGTCGACCTATCTGCACAAGATAGAGCTGCACTGCACGGTGACTAGGCCACGATGCCACCACCGCTGACCCTCAAATCGCCGCAAAGCCCTCTACGCTCGGCTCCTGGGCGCTGCGGTGCCCGGGCGGCACCTCTACTGAGCCTGCGCGTCGCGGCTGGCGCATGCGCCTTGCAGCGAGGCGGCAGAGGCGGTGCTGAGCGCTCTGGGCGGCTGCTGTGTTTTGGGGCCTGGGAGCCGTGGGAGGAGTCCGCGGTCTCACTGTGGTAACCTGGTAACCGCAGCCCCCGCCTTGCAGGCCTCAGGACTGTCACTGCCTTTGGGGTCGGGGGACTTTGGCCATCATTTCCGGAGACAGTCCCTCCGGCCTCTCTTCCCACGCCGTCGCCGCCGCCATGCAAGGGGAGGACGCCAGATACCTCAAAAGGTGACGACTCCCCGAGGCGCGGCTCCACCCTCCTGGCCCGCAGCCCTGAAGATACTCCCAGGGGATCTTGGGCTTGGCCTGGAGGTGTCACTGGGCAATGAAGAGGGGTGGACACGGGGAGAAGTCGCGGAAAGGGAAGGGCCAGTGCTCTGCGTAAAGAGGTTCTGCAGCCGCCCACCTGGCTCGGCGGAGCGCTGACAGCGCTGGAGGTGGCTCCTGGCCGCCTCACCTTGTTGGCTGGAGGGGGGCGGGGGGCGGGGGAACCCCTCTTGCCCACCCCCTCTGCCTCCTCATCCCAATTCTGCATTTCCCCTAATAGGTAAAACCCGTGGGGCCCTGGAAGTGAAGTCTCCCAGCACCTCTGCTGTCTGTCTCCAGGTTGGGGATCGCTGACCAGAGGTTCTGGAGAGATGCCCGGGAAAGAAGTGATGGCTTTTCATTTACTAGAGGCTGCGCTGGGACGGTGCTTCCCAGCGTCCCTCTGCTTGCCTCTCAGTTTCATGCGTTCGACTGCCATGTGTACAGTGTCGTTTTTGTAGGATTTTAATGATCAAGAGGTTTGTGCAGGAGCTCGACAGTGGAACAGGCCGTCATTATCTTTGTTTAGAAACACTTGTGTCAGTTACTCTTTAAAGAAAACTGTATGTCTGTCGGGATTGTTTGTTTGACTCCTGTCAAAGATAAGACCATCCCTGACAGAAAGGACACCTCTCAGTGGACAGAGAGTTTGCAATCATCCAGTAGGGGAAAACCGTCATTCGGATGCTCTGTGTTTAAAGGCCCCGTTCTGATTGGGTGAATACCCTGGGGAAGGCACATGTATCCTTTTGAACAGTTTCCTTATCTAAAAACAGGACAAATATTGCCTTACCAGAGATTCGAGGGCCAAATGTGAAAATCCTTTGAAAAGATAAAAACATGCTTGTAAGGTGGGGGTATTAGCGTAAGTCACAGTGTGCTTTTACTGAACATATTTCCCTTGGCTTGGCAGGGCCCTGATCTCCACAGAAGGATCTTCTGATCTTTACTAGACTCATAAAAGGGGCTCAGACAGTAGATAATCAACCAGCCAATCAGCGAACTGCACTGCCTTTGCAGGACTGGGGCATCTGTCTTGCCCGCCCTTCTCATCTTGTATAAATAGATCTGAAACTGCTGAATGAACAGGCTGTATCAGTAAATTTTTTACAAAGGGACATATAATCCCAACAGGCATATAGTCAGTATTTATCTCCTCACTGAATTTTGCTTACATTGATCTTCTTGATTGAAAATTTTGTCACAGAAGAAAATACATTCTTTCTTCTACTTTAAATAAATACAAGTTTGTCCTAGAGCAAACATATGCTAATTATATGTTTATCTTATTGAGGAACCACTGACTTGCTTTCCACGTTCACTGCGTCATTTTACATTCCCACCAGCAGCGTATGCAAGTTCCAATTTCTTCACATCCTTGCCAACACTTGTTATATATTTATTTTTTTAAATTAGGGCTCTTCTAACGGATGTGAAGTGATGTCTTACAGTTTTAATTTACATTTCCCTAGCTTCTAGTGACACTGAGCGTCCTTTCATATGCTTCTTGGCCTTGGCATTCTTGGGAGAAAAGGGTTCTTTATATTTTCTGGATCTGGACCCCGATCAGATCAGTGCTTTGCAAATATTTTGTTTCATTCGGCAGATTGTGTTTTCACTCTCTTCATAGTCTCCTTTCATGTGCAAAGGTTTTACATTTATATTTCGTTTAGTTTTTGCTTTTTAAAAAATGTTGAAATAACTATGGATTTTAAAAATTCCCATCCTTTCCTCCCCTTTGTCAGCTGTCAACTTACTCTCTGTATTGTGGTCTGTTTCTGTTTTGTTTTGTTTTGTTTACGTGTTTGCTTCATATTTTTAGATCTTTGTTGCTGAGTGATACTCCTTTGTACGTGTGCACCACAGCTCCACCCATTCATCTGTTGGGGGCCGCCCCGGCTGCTGCCACATCTCGGCTGTGGTGCACACTGTGGCGGCGAGCACAGGGGTGTGCATATCTGGTGTTTGTGTTTCCTCCCCTTGAACACCCAGGAGTGGAATTGCTGGACCACGTGACAGTTCCGTCCGTACCTTTATGAGGACTCGCCAGCCTGTCTTCCGTCGTAGCTGCTCTAATTTACAGCCTCGCCAGCAGTCTGTGAGGTTCCCTTTCCCCCAACGTCCTTGTCAGCACTTGGTACTTGTTGATGGCCGTTCTGACAGGTGTGAGATATCTCGTTGTGGTTTTGATTTGTGTTTCCCCGATGATTGGTGATGTTGAGCATCTTTTCATGTGTCTGTTGGCCATCTGTATGCCCTCTTTGGAGAAATGTCTATTCTAGTTCTCTGCCCACTTTTTAAATTGTCCCCCCCCCCGTGTTCTGTTGTATGAGGTCCTTATATTTTTTTGGATGTTAACCCGTTGTTGGATGTATTATTTGCAAATATCTTTTCCCATTTAGTAGGTTGTCTTTTAATTTTGTCAGTAATTTCCATCACTGTACAAAACTTTTTAGTTTAATATAGTTCCATTTGTTTATTTTTTGTTGTTGTTCTTGCCCAAGGAGACATATCCAAAAGAGTATTACTAAGAGTGATGTAGAAGAATTTATTGGCAATGTTTTCCTCTAAGAATTTTTTGGGTCAGGTCTTACATTTAAGTCTTTAATCCATTTTGAATTTGCTTTTGTATAAGGTATGAGAAAGTAGTCCAATTTCATTTTTTTGCATGTGTCAGTCTAGTTTTTCCAATATCACTTATTAAAGAGACTGTCTTTACCCCATTGTATATTCTTGCTTCCTTTGTCATAGATTAATTGACCGTGTAAGTAAGGATTTTCTGTTCTTTGGGCTCTCTATTCTATTGATCTATATACCTTTTTTTGTACCAGTACCTCACTGTTTTAATTCTTATAGCTTTGTAGTATAGTTTGATATCAGGGAGCATGATAACACCCATTTTTTTGTGTCTCAAGATTTCGTTGGCTATTTGGGGTCTTTCTAGCTTGATATATATTTTAAATCATTTGTTCTAATTCTGAGAAGCACGCCATTGTTATTTCATAAGGATTGAATTGAATCTCTATATATTGCTTTAGGTAGAAAGGACATTTTAACAATAATAATCCTTCAAATAAATGAGCAAGTTATAACCTTTCATTTATTTGTATCTTCTTCACTTCTTTTCTTTGGGTCTTACAGTTTTCAGAATACAGGCCTTTCACCTCTTTGGTTATATTTATTTCTACTAGGTATTTTTTGCTTTTGATGCAATTGTGAATGGAATTGTTTTCTTCATTCCTCCTTCTGATCATTCATTATTGGCATATAGAAACACAATAGGTTTCTGTATATTGTTCTTTCCCCCAGTGAAAGGTCTTGCCACCCTTGTTGAAGTCAATTGGCCATGTATGTAGGAGTTTACTCCTGGGCTCAGTTCTATTCCAATACTCTGGGGGTCTGTGTTTCTGCTAGTACTTCAGTGCTTTGATTACTGTAGTTTTGTCGTATGTGCTCAAATCAGGAAATGTGAGCCTTTCAACTTTGTTGTTCTTTTTCGAGATCGTTTTGGCTACTCAGGATCCCCGGTATCTCCACATGAATTTTATTATTTCTTTTCCATTTCCACAAAATAGGCTTTGGGGATTTGATAGGGGTTATATTGAATCATTAGGTCACTTTGAGGAATATTGTCATCTTAACTGTAAATCTGATGTAAATTCGTATGTTAATCCAGCCCACAGGCTTTTGGAGCTAGAACCTAGATAAAACTGTGGACATTTTGTGAGTTCTTAATCTACTTATGCTTATTTTTATTTTACATTATAGGAAAGTTAAGGGAGGAAACATCGATGTACATCCATCAGAAAAAGCACTCATTGTTCAATATGAGGTCGAAGCCACCATTCTTGGGGAAATGGGGGATCCCATGTTGGGAGAACGAAAAGAATGCCAAAAAATGTAAGTGTTCTTTACTCGTGTACACTTTGAAAGTAGCAAACATTGTGCAAAGTTCATAGAAATCTGCTGTTTTTTTAATCTACATAGATGATAAATGTTTATGGTGTTATTCTAGACATACTTCACGTTAGTGAAGCAAAGACAACATGAAACTATAAATACAGATATATTTACTTCCCAGTTACTACCTTCTGTGGCTGGAGTAAGTGGGTTTAAACATCAGCAAGGGACAACCTAAGGACCTCAGGTTTGGGATGCTCTGGCTACACAGGAGCTGGCGAGGGGTCCCACTGGGGGACCCAAGGAGGACGTGGTAGCTTGGTAGTTTGGAGGTTTAGTCAATGGCAGCAGCTGGGGGACACTCGTATAGCCCAAGACAGGCATGGTGTGAGACTGTCATTACATTTGGTTGAGACCCAGGTTGAGAAGGCTTGTATTTCATTTCTCTTTACTGGGAAAAGGAAGGTATAAGCCCATCTTCAAGAGAGTCCCAGTTTCTGAAGACTTCTTTATGAGAAACTGGTGTTTAGAGTCCAAAAATAATGTGGATATTTTTCTTGCGAGTTTTTGATGTTCTTAAGAGGCATGGGCTGCCTAATGAAGATTCTAATTTCTCATTGTAGGAATAATCAGTAAACATACAGGTAACACTCACTGAGGATCCTAGTTGCACCTATTTTTTTTCTTTGTATTTTATAATAAGGGAAGGATTTAAGAGTCCTGCACACTAAAAGGAGAAAATCTCTCTGTTACTTTTAATGGAAAAGAAGACGAATCAGATTGCTAATATCCATGCTGGTAGCCTAAAAAGAAATAGAAACAACTGCTTTGTTAAATCAAGATACCACTGCATACCTATTAGAATTGGTAAAATCCCAACACTGACAGGACCTCATTTACTGCGAGTGGAAGTGTGAAGTGGTGTCGCCACTTTGGAAGACAATTTGGCAGTTTCTTCCAAAGCTAAACATAAACTTACCATACAAACCAGCAGTTGTGCTCCTACATATTAACCCAAATGAGCTGGAAGCTATGTCCACACAAAAACCTGTACATGAATGTTTATAAGAGCTTTATTTATAATTGTCAATAATTGGAAGCAGTGAACTTGCCCTTCAGTTGGCAAATGGTTAAGCGGGCAGTGGTGCATCCATACACTGCAGTGTTATTCAGCACTTAAAAGAAACCAGCTCCCAAGCTATGAAAAGACATTGGGACAGGGGGTGCGGACCTAGGTACATATTACTAAGTGAAAGAAGCCAGACTTGGAAATGCTACATTCTGTATGATCCCAACTATAGAACATTCTAGAAAAGGAAAACTAAAGTAAAGAGGATGAAGGTTGCCAGGGGATAAAGGGGTGGGGGAGGAGAGAGTGGATGGAGCCCAGAGCGTGCTGAGGGTGGTGAAAGGTTCTGTAGGGTAACTGTGATGCTGGATACACGGCATGATGCATTCGCCAGCGCCCACAGAACTGTACAACAGAGTAAATCCTGATGTAAACTCTGGGCTTGCATTTATAGTAATGTATCATCATCAGTCCATCAGCTGTAACAAAGACTCCACACTGATGCAGGATGGTAGTAACAGAAAAAAAATACCTTGGTTGGGAGTAGTGGGGGTATATATGGGAACTCTGTACTTCATGCACAGTTTTTCTGTGAGCCTAAAACTGCTCTAAAAAAGACTAGTAAGAAATTGTAACATTGTGTTTATAGCATTTTTATTGTGTCTCTTTTGATCAGATTTATAGAAACTGTCAGGATTTCCAAGTTCCTTGCTAAAAGTAAACATGAGAGGTCTTGTGAAAATTTTTGACTGAAAGGATTCTCCTTTCTATCTCTGTCTCTTGATGTGGAGTAAAATTATAAAACATATAATGGAGAGTTTAAAGGACTGAAAAGGTAGGAATATAAACCCCCCAAAAGTAAAATAAAGGGACAGAGTATTGCTAGGGTTCTTCACTGCAAACATTGGAAGCCACTGTAGCAAATTTAAACACAAAGGGAACTTACTAAAGGCTGTCAGGTAGACTCCTTGGAGGACCAGACTTGGGGATGGCCGTGTAGCTGTGAATAATTCCTAAGTCACTCCACTGGACTCACTTCAGGAGAGATCGCCTGCATCCGAACAGTGACTCCAGACGCTTAGTGCAGGACCTTTCTCCGAGGTCTCTGTCCCCAGGCCTCTGACACCTTGATGTCTTCCCAGATAGTGGCACTTTACCAAGAGATGATTCTATACAGTAGCTGCCTTCCCATGTTTATCTTCTTGAATCTAAGCCTCGCATGAGAACGTCTGCTTGAGTCTTCACCCTGAATCTAATTTTATGTTCTCATAGCTCTCCCTGGTGCCACAAATTCATATAAATGGGCAATTTTTGCAGACTCTGACCAATCTCTTTTAATTAAGCTCCCAGTGAATCTCCTAGACTAAATTAAAAAGGAGGAACAAGCTGGTTTATTTTTTTATGTACTAACAAGCATGAAATATTCCTGAAGATTCCTCGTATAGCTCTTAAAATGTATCCCGCTTTCATTCTTCTTCTTTCTACATGATTTCCACGAGAAGCACTGAATCCCGAGGTAGTCAGTAGTCAGTGCGTCCTGTCCCTAACTGGCAGACTTCAGTGACTGGGGCCGTAGGCAGGAAGGCGGCTGGTCTCTGGCGGTAGGCATCTTCACGTCTGGTGACTGCAGACTCTGCACGCATCCCACCGGAAGGCTGTTTCAGAACGAGCTCTGAGTGTGCTCTCTGCTTGGAGGAGTCAGGTGCGGGCTTGATGTTCCTTTGGTTATCCTGTTTGTCCAGCTCAGAGAAAAATCATTGCCTCGCATCATTCCAAGCCCAGTTAGATCTAACGTTCTATTCTATTTCACTGAAAGTGGACGTGAGGTACATTTAAATGCTTTGAAAGTTATCTCTTTGAAGAAGGATTGCTTAAATCATCACCTCCCTTAAAAACACCTGAGTGGGAAAATTCTGGTCTGCCGCAGCATCCGTCTGAAGAGCCTCAACGCCAACACAGACATCGCCTCCCTGGCGCGGAAGGTGGTGGAAGAATGCAAGCTCATCCACCCCTCGAAGCTGAGCGAGGTGGAGCAGCTGCTGTACTACCTGCAGAACCGCCGCGACTCCTTGTCCGGGAAAGGTGAGGCGCGCTTCCGCAGGGCGGGGGCGCAGGCACAGGCTTGTTGGACTGTGGGGTGCGTGGTGGGGATACGTGGGGGGCTTGCTTTTGTTTTTAGTTTGTGCCAGGTCCGTGAATGAGTAAGCGAACGAATAGACGTATTAGTTTTCTCCACGTGGAGCTTTATATCAGATGGCTCCACACAAATGATGTTTCCGTTCCATGTTTCTCCTGGGGGCGCACACATGTGTTGAAATAGCGGCAGAGAAGCAAGTATCTGTCATGTGGACTGTAGGGTAATGGAAGGAGAGAATTTGGGGCAGAAAGCCCATTTTCTCCACTCCAACTAGACTTATGTTTTCTGAACTTTCTATTGACGGTTTATTATTTGAGTGGATAAATAGGTATTTCAATGTTAAAATATATGTTATGTGCTTTAGACTGCCCTAAAGGTATGTTTTATGAATCTTAAGAAAATACTACCCTTTCATTCCCGAACATTTCTGTGCCGACATTCCTATCGTTAATTCCCTCATTAAAGAACTACGCATTAAAATAGTAGAGCTAAGCGACTGATTACTTATAGAAGACATTTTCAGATAATCTAAACCAAAAGTGAAGTAAAATCAAAACACAGACATTTTAATGCAGCATCATCTCAGATTATTGACTGCTTAGTTGTTCCATTTCTTTTTTTATCAAATTTTTTTAGATTTTAATATTTTTATTTATCTTTAGAGGGGAAGGGAAGGAGAGAAGGAGAGAAATATCAATGTATGGTTGCCTCTCGTGGGTACCCTGCTGGGAACTGGCCTGCAACCCAGGCATGTGCCGGTGACTGGGAATCGAACCACGTTACTCTGGTTGGCAGGCCCGTGCTCAATCCACTGAGCTACACCAGCCAGGCCTGGTTGTTCCATGTCATAGTATTGTTTACATATCTTTCTTTCACCATGGATGAATTCCAAAATATGGTGTCTCTGAAATAATGTATAAAGGCCTCAGTTTTGACTGTACTAAGTAAAAAAAAATTAAATAGAAAATTAGTTTAAACTTTTTTTCAAGTTTGTCTTCTCTTTCATTCATAGCAAATAAAATGTCTTGTGCCTAATATACATTATACTTTTATTAAATAGAGTTACTGACTCACATTACATGATCAGTAGGTATTTGTTGAGTGAATTGGATGGCTGTGAACTTATTTAAAAGCAAAATGAAGCATTTTGAACTTGATTGCTTCCAACTACATAGCTGACACTTAGTGTACACTTATTACTTATTGATAATAAGTATTAAAAGGAAAATAGCAAGGAGACTTTTTATTAAACATTTCATATTACGGTATTGTTGCTGAGATGCCTGTAAATGATAAAAGAGTGAGCAAAGCAAGTCCTGTACTTTTTTACAGGTATGTGTGTAGTTATTGTGGGAAGTACAAAATAGTTAAAATTGGTCTTTACTAATGTGAAATTAATATAGTTTCACTGCCATTTATAATAAAATGTCTTTAAACTAAAGAACAGCCTTTCAGTGTTTTCAGGGTAAATCAGTCTCCTCACCGCTGTCCTCAAAAATTAGGGGAATGTGAGCAAATTTTTCATATCATCTTATGTGAATACATTAGTCAAATCAATATATTTCTCTGTATAGGTATTAATACTTGAAAACATGAAATTATGTCTATATTAAATATATACTTATTTTCTTAAACTTTTTTCTTGACTATTTTTACTTGGTATTCACTGTCTCAAAACCAGAAATATTGCCCTAAATGGGATTGAAACAAAACAATAATATGTATTTGATTATAGATTCTTTACCTTTAGTGATTGTTTTCTTTCCTTAATTAAAAACACTGTCAAAGTAAATTATCTATTTGAGGCAAAATCTAGCTTTTCAGAAAACATAATCTTATATAGAATGGCCAACATTCTCTGAAAAGAATCAAGGCTAATTTCCATTAAATGTTTGCTAATTACAGAATCAAAATATGATATTATTAGAACTTATTTTAATGTACATGCATTGCTTAGGTTAATCCACATCAGTGAAGTTATTTTTGATAATTTTTTTATTAGAAATTGAAATTCTGCCATGAATCAAATAATCTGAGTGTAACGAAGGGCTCAGAGCTGTTTTCAGCACCTTTGGTTACCTCTTCACTGTATTCGGAAGCCAGTGAGAATTAACCCAAATATTAAATATTTGCCTTTTAATTTATGATTCAAATTTTACTTATTTAAAACAATGTTAGCAACTATTCTTTATTTTATCTTTGAACTGTACTCATTTCTTTTTCTTTGTTAATTTTATGTTAGTTTTAATATTGCTCAGTTTATTTTTTCTTTGCCTTACTGATTTTCCTATTCCCACCTTAACTGTGAATTAGAAGGAGAAAGAGAGAAAAGTTGACTCTTTTGCTTCTTGTTGGTGAGTCTGGCTGTTTATCTGCCCAAAAAGCCGACTGAGGAGGGGGGTAAAATCGCTGCCTGAGCTACTTGGGGGTATTTGTTGATTTGATCTGTTTATATGCTCCTTGGTTTATCCTCGGTAGAACAGATGGATTACAGATGAGCATTTTTCTATGCATTGAAAAAAAGATCATTTTATAACCTATTGGGTTTTAAGATCCCTTACTTAGCTAGAGTTAATCAACTGCTGAAAATCAGAATTACTCAGAAGTGCTAAATTCCTACTTCTAGTCATTAAAAAAAATTTTTTTTACAGAAAAAAAAGAAAAATCAAGCAAGCCTAAGGATCCACCTCCTTTTGAAGGAATGGAGGTAAGACTGTATTACAATCTACTAGAAAACTGATTGTAAGGCGTGTATTTTACCACCAACAATTGATACAGTTGCATTACACAGATGTGGAATTTTAAAAAGTAATTGAAGTTAGAAGTACCTGAAAAAGGTAGAAAATAAGTATCTAGTTGATAAAAGCAGAAAATACTTGGTATGTTTTTAGACAACTTATTTTAATAGAAAAGGAAGTTGTGTTTTAAATATTCCTATTGTGGTGGGTTTTGAAATGTTATTTAATCTGTTGATACAAATTACTTTGCATGACATTTAAAGCAATTTTTAATTGATAGACCAAGATCCCATTTTATCTTGTGGTTCGTAATTCTGTACTGGAGTCCTGGCTCCCAGGGGTCTGGTCTCCTCCCCTACGAAAAGACTGTGAGTCCTTTGAACACGTGTCTGTTACTGTGAAGTATAATGTATCGATCACAGACCATCATCCTTTTGACAGTGGCTCTGTGAAGCACTGCTGTTCTCTTGGAGTACCGTCTTCCTCTTCCTTTGTTTCAGATTGACGAAGTTGCTAACATCAACGACATGGATGAATACATTGAGTTATTATACGAAGATATTCCTGACAAGGTTCGGGGCTCTGCTTTGATCCTGCAACTTGCTCGAAATCCTGATAACCTGGAAGAGCTACTATTAAATGGTAACTTATATTTATAAACACTAAAATTAGAAAATCATTGTGAAACGTGATTTTTAAATTCATTACATTAGAGGAGTAAGCTAAAATGATTTGTACTAAACTTAAAAATACAGTAATTTCCCGACGCTTTATTACCTTTGTACTTTTTCAAATTTTTCACGTGAGAGAATAGTATTTAAATATTCTCTGGAGAATTCACAAGTCCTTCAATTTAAATAAGGGGGGGTCAAGCATTAATGGTGCCGTATCTTTTCTTCTACCTGGGGACACTTTTTTAGTGTTTCTACTAAGATACACGGTGAAGCTTTTGACATCTGTCGCATTTAGCCTGAAGGACTAACCCCTTTAATGTGTCTCATAGGGAAGGCCTGCTGTCAACAAGTTCTCAGAGTTCTTATTTTCTCGGGAATGGCTTAACTGGTCCTTGGTGCTTGGAGGATAGTTTTGCTGGGTAGAGAACTGTGTGTTGATTGTGTTTTTCTTTCAGCACTTTGAAAGTCATGCCACTCCCTTCCTGTCTGTGATTTCTGGTGTGAAATTCACTGGTAGTCTTGTTGAGGATCCTGTGTGCATCTCGAGTTGCTTTTCTCTTGCTGCTTTTTATTTTCTTTGCTTTTGGCTTTTGCCAGTTTGACTATGATGTGATTAGGCATTGATATCTTTGCATTTATCTTGCTTAGAAGTTTACAGAACTTCTTGGATGTGCAGGTTAATGTTCTTCAGCCAACTCGGGAAGTTTTTAGCCATTATTTGTTAAAGGTTCATTTTGCTTTTTTCCTTCTCTCCTCTTGGAACTCCCATTTTGTTTATTTTACTGTGCTTGTTGATATCCCCCAGGTCTTTGAGGCTCTGTTTATTTATTTTTCAGTCTGTTCCTAAGACAAGATAATTTTCATTGATGTGCCTTATATTTGTTGATTCTTTTTTCTAGTGTACATCTGCTGACATGATTTCTAATGAATTTTTTTTCAGATATTGTGTTTTGCAATTGCAGAAAATGGTTCATTTTTTAAATAATGTGTATCTCTTCATGATATTCTCTGTTGAGACAGCATTCTCCTACCTTCTCACACTTTTCTTTGATTCCTTCAGTGTGTTTTCTTTAGTTCTTCGGGTGTGTTTACAATAGTCAACTTTAAATCTCCGTCTCACAGGATCAGCGTCTGAGCTTCCTCGGAGACGGTTTCTGTCCACTGCTCTGTTTCCTGGCTATGGGGCAGACTGTCCTGTTCCTTTGCATAGTTTGTATTTTTAACTGTTTTGAAATAATATTGTGGGAAGTCTGAAAATCTGCTTCCCATTCCTTCCAGGACTTGTTATTTCTCCTGTTTGTTTGTTTAGTGAGTTTCCCAGACTATTTCTATAAAGTTATCTTTGTGCAGCCACTGAATTTTCCGCTCTGTTAGCTTAATGGTCGCTGATGGTCGGATGGCCATTTCCCTAAATGCGTGGCACTGAGCGGCCCAGCTGCTGCCGAGGGACTCTGTGCATGTGTCGGGGCACGACTTCGGGGCTCAGGCAGGGAGGTTACAGCCTTCCCTTCACTCCCGGCTTGTGCATTGTCTGCCTCCAGGTTGGTCAAAGACATCAGGTCCTTCTCTGGTCTTTCTCTGGCACGTGCACCTCCCAGCACACGTGCATGGCCCTCTAGAATTCAGGGAACATTTCAGAGCTTTTCAAAGACTCTGTGAAAATCTTTTTCCAGTTATTTCTTTTAAAGTTTGTGGTCAGCCTCTTAATAAGTCCAACAAGCTGCTGCTCATAACTGCCATGTCTCCATGAGTAGTTTTCAACAGATGCCCTGGGTGTAAGGCTGCAAAGAGCACACTTTAAGTCAGGTCAAGGAAAGCAAACCCTGGAATGGAGACTTTCAGCAGGTGTCCAGATGGGTCGGGGAGAGACAGTTCTCTGGAGTAGGGCTCCGCTCTCTCCGGGTGCTGCCGGCCCGCCGCATCTCGCAGATACCATAGTTGTGATTTTCTTGTATATTTTGTCCATTTTTGTGTTATTTTGAGATCACCTTATTATATTCTCTAAAAAATCATAATGGAATTTTAATTAGGATTGCATTCAACTTGTAAATTAATTTTGTATTTTGACCTTTCGTAAACCCTGTAATTTTCTTTTGGCTATTTCTTGAATAACCCATGTAGAATTCCCATAGCTGTATTTTCATTGAGGTGTTTCTCTATACTAAAGGAGAAAAGTGAAATAAAATTTGAAAAGTGGGTCACTAAACCTATGCCTAAACTCATGACATAGTACATCACTTTCCAAAGTGTCTATGAAGTACTGTTTCCTCTGGGTTATAGTGGTAGAAGGCCCAGATCCTTTGTCGGGCAGGGCAAAGACTTTGGAGTCTTTGCTCTAAATATACGTTGCCTGTCTGTTTACTTGACTCTGCAATGACTTTGGAGTCCAGTGTATATTACATGCAGTCTGTCTGCATCGTGAATGTAACATGGAATGCCATTATGGGATTTCTTTTAGTTCGCTTTAAAACATTTCTTACTAAGTGGATTAATATCATAGTGAATTCTTATTGTCACGTAATCTGAATAGCCTGAAAGCTCAAATGAACTGAACACTTTTATTACAGTGATAAATACTGATAATGCAGTCCATGAAATATAATAGATCCTGAGTGCCAAGTTGAGTTCTGAATTATATATAACGCACATATATTACCTTATTTTTTAATTATTTCAAGAATTGGTAAGCCACATAGCAACATTATTTTGAAAAGTCTCATTACTTTATGTTTACTTAATATGTAGTAATTCTTGTTAATCGATTCATTAATTTTACCTTTCTCTAGATAAAAATCTAGCAGGGATGTTTATTAATCTACCCTGAAGCTAATTTTGTTAAAGATTTTTTTGTTTTACTTATGTCTGTTGGCATCAACTTAACATGTTATTAAAATATTAAACATTTTTCTATGCATAAGTTTTATTTGGTTATTAATTTGCTTTAATGGAGCTAGTGTTTGCCTGCTAAACTGCTCATTATTTTTTTAGTGTTGTTCTAGTTTTTTTTACTTATTCACAAACACCTTAAATCAGATGTTAATAAAGAAAAAAATTGGTACTGCTGTAGCAAGATTACAAGTGGAAATTCAGTTCAGGAAATAAATGGTCTTATTACTTTATTGTCACCCAAAATATACTTCTGTTACTTTATCTAGATTATATTTTATTTTTCTGTTTACAGGAATAGACTTAAAGCTGTGCGTTACAAGTTTTTAAGTGAAAGTTTGATTTCAGTTTTAAAAATAGCTTTCTGTGTTGGAAAGAAGCATCCTACTTTTTTGTCCCAGTTCCTCCTTAGCCGTGTTATTAATTCATAAGTAGACATCTAAAACCAATCATCCTTTATAGCAGAGGCAAGGCGCGTGATCATTTTTGTGCGTCCTCTTTCCCTTAGAAACCGCCCTGGGTGCACTGGCCAGAGTCCTGAGAGAAGACTGGAAGCACAGTGTGGAGTTAGCCACCAACATAATCTACATCTTCTTCTGTTTCTCCAGGTGAGTGAGTGCGGACGTCAGGAAGCAGAGTCCTCGTCCGTCTGCATCGCTCTCTGCGCGTGGCGTTGCTTTAGATTTTAGAGCACGGGTTCGCTCAGTCCTCTGTGTGTCTGCCCGTGCTCTGCCTCCGGACTCTGACTCTGTTTCCAGTCCTGTCCTCTCCTGTTCTGGTGCTAATTCAGTCTGTACTCACCCTCGTGTACACCCACGCACGCACGTCTGCGCACACTCACGTACACAGGGTAGGGTGGTGTGCTCCTTTAGAGTTGAAGGGTCTGGGCTCTGGGCGCAGACCCTCTCCGTTTGAATGTCAGTCCTACTGTTGATTATTCATTAAGTGTGTGGTCTTGGCCACATTACTTCTTGTGCCTCGGTTTCCTCACCTGCAAGCTGTGGATAATGATAGTAACACCCTTTTCAGATAGTTTTCAGAAGGAAGCCTGACCCAGATTAAGTCCAGTGAATGTTGTTTCACACACACACACACACACACACACACACACACACACGTGTGCGCAGACATATCTGTTGTACATTCATATATATTATTTTACACATGCATTCTTTAGAAAGTAGTTTATTGAGACATTGCAAAAAGTTTCTAGCTGATTTCTAGAGAATTGCCTTTCTCTAGAAATTTTTTAGTGTCTCTATTCTAAAAATCTGTCAGCATTGGGAAATAAATATTTACTGAATTAATACTTGGATGAATGAATTATCTTGGAAACATGCAAAACCTAATTGCTAATACTTCACTAGTTTTTTCTTTGGTACGATTTTTATTTCATAATAATATTGTTACAGTATTAGTTATGTTAGATGGTAGTCTGAAAATTTATTTTGACAGTATCTGAGTAGTTAAAATGGTTGTTAATCATAAATGTGTTTTATTTTTTCTAACTTAAAAATAATTTAATTTCAGGTAAGGGTAATATATTAAAATATAGTTAAAGGAATCTCATCATTTCAAGTTTTCCTAGTATGCTGTGGGTGTATTTATTTATTGAAATATGTGTATCAAATTTATCCATGCTAGTGTTTACCCAAAACAAATTTCCTGAACCCACAAAATGTACTCCTTTTAATAATACTAAAATCTCTTCTTTAAAGCTTTTCTCAGTTTCACGGACTTATCACTCACTATAAAATCGGAGCTTTGTGCATGAATATCATTGATCATGAATTAAAAAGACACGAGCTTTGGCAAGAAGAACTTTCTAAGAAGAAGAAAGCTGATATCCTTTCAGAGTGGCCTTTCACTCCACTGTTGCTGCCTGTTGCCATGAGCTTTGGCTAGATGGGATGTTTTTTATTTTTTCTTTTATTCATTCACAGCAAGTGAAGAATGCGGGGGTGTTGATAGAGATCGACACTGTCAGGAGGAATGTAGTCTGGCGTACACTTTTTATCTCTTCCCAACTTTGCTAGTTGATACGACAGAGAGGGCAGAAAGCAGTGGGCCTGGGCCCTGGGCTGGTGCGTCTCTGCGTGGCTGTGCGTGTGTCCGGCCCTTCGGTTAGCGGGAGGCCGGCTCCCTGCTGCTGCTTGCGCAGCAATCTTTCTGCAGGAGGGGCTTTGACCCGAGTGGGTGTTGCCTTGGTGACAAAGCTAGTTTTAGACTGTTTCTCCATTTAAGCACAAAAATACTTTTCTTAGTACACACAAATTTGAGAGGAATGCAGAATGATAGAACCTGTGAAAGGAGCCTTAAAAATGATCTACTTTAACCTTTTTTCCAGTACAGGCATCTTTTCTGCAACTCTCCATACAAATGGATTACTTAGTCTCTTGTTTATCGATGTCACTGATTTTGGGATTTAGCTCACTTTTGATGTGGCATTCTATTTACTGTAGTGTTCTTTGCTCAGTGTGCCGACGTCCACTTCCCAATAACTTCTATGTGTTGGTTCTAATCCTGCCTGCTGAAGCAATGTAGAATAGGGGTATTTTCTTCCACATCACATTTCTTCTATTTGAAGCTATTTGTCATGTTGCCTGTACAACTTAATTCTTCTAAAGTTCTGGCTTATTCGTCTGTCCTTATATGACGTGCTTTGTAGATCAACAACGCATACTAGTAACTTTCTTTTTTTTTAATTTTTTTTATTGCTGAACCCCAAATCTATTGATTTCTTTTAAATAACAGTAAAAATATTGTTCCTCTTGTGCAGAGTATCATGTGTTTTGCCTTTTCCTCATGGGATTCCCCAAGACACTATAAAAATGCATCCTCACACACACATAAACCTTGACTTAACTGGGACCTTTCATGGTTTAAATTGTGTGCATGTTATAAGCTTCTGACATCTAGATAGGTATTGCCTTAAACTACGCGGACAACTCTAAAGTCCTGGAGATTTTAGATTATTTCTGGAGTCCCAAGTCTATTGAATGTACCCCAAATTCATTTAAACTGCAGAGGGCACAAAGAGGACCACTAACAGAACTTCTGACAATCACTTACTTATACATTGCAATTGATGATAAGAACTCATATTTTAGGACACACCGTATTCCTGTAACTATGAGACACCATTGGTTGTAGGGCGTACCTTTATTTATGAACCACTAGTGAAGTAAAAAACGCTTCCAGTGAAACTATGGCACTTCAGGGATTATAAGACATATCCAAATTCTGGAAATGTTACAACGTGAGAAAATGTATCTTCGAATCAATGGATTGCACTAATCAAAGGAATATGAAATGACCTTTTAGGCCCTGGCTGGTGTGGCTCAGTTGTTGGAGCATCGCCTGTAGATGGAGAGGTGGCAGGTTCAGTTCCCAGTCAGGGCGCATGCCTAGGTTCGGGGTTCGATCCCTGTTTGAGCACATGTGAGAGGCAGCGTATTGATGTTTCTCTCTCACATCAGTGTTTCCCTCTCTCTGTCCCTCCCGCTCTCTCTAAAATCAGTAAGCATGTCCTTGGGCGAGGGTATAAGAAAATAAATAAAAAATAACCTATCAGAATTATGGCCATTTCTTCTAAAATATTGCCTTTTTATTGTCTTTTAAGTTTCCTTGTGTGTTGATGCAGGGAGCATTCGGTAGTGACTGTGTGTGAGAGTGTTTGGGGTCTGCAGCCAGACAGAAGTAACTGGTTATGTCTGCAGGTGTCCAGGGCACTGTTTGGGGCCATAATCAGAGGTAAAGAAAATTAAAGTATTTGGGGATGTTTCTTTTTTATTTTGGAATATTTCTTTATCCCTGATTATGGGATATTTCTTTTATGCCATCTGTTCTGAAGAGGATGGTAAAACACTTTAAACCCAGCCCACATCTCTTCACTATTCTGGGCATCTCTGTTAAGAGGACTCCAGTATTTTTATGGACCACATCATTCTCCAATGCAGTAATCTTTTTGATCCATGGATCCGTTTGCTCATCTGTTGAAAGTTAGAGGCTCGTGGATATACATAAAATATTTGCATGTGATTTCTGGGGATTCGTGTATTTGGTGAAGTCCAAACGTGCATTTACCCGAGGACCCCACACATCCTCTTGAACCCTTCGTTGAGAAGTCTGCTGCCACACCATGAACACAGTTACCGTGCAGGGAACCTAGTCCAGTCCCACTGTTGGTGAGGGGAAGCACTCGGGTGGCGCCGCGAGCAGTGTGCATGTGAGGCTGTTTTCGTAGGGTTTCTTCGCTTCAGTGAGCATGGATGATCCTTAACTTGCTTACTTGATGAAGACCCTGAAAACCAGACCTTGAGGAAAGAATACGAAAAAACCTTTAAGAAGTACCAGGGGCTTGTGGTAAAACAGGAACAGCTCTTACGAGGTATGAATTCGTAAACACTGAGAAAAACAGCAAAGTGCTTACTCTGCATTTAGTTTGTTCCATTTTTTTGTCAGATCAGTAAAGCTAATACCAGAATAATTGAGTTTTATACGTTTTAATATGATACAAATTCTTTTGTCTTCAGCATGGGTGGTAATGTTTTAAATTTTGCTCTACTGGTTCTACCGAAAGGCCCACTCAGTTTTTAAATGTATAGATACTAGTTATTTATTTACTCAGAGATGATTTTTTAATCCATTGTGTGACCTTTTCAATAATAAGGCTCTTGTCTCTCAAACCCTAATATACCTACATAGTGAATTCTTTTGTTGCTTTCATAGAAGATATAAAAGCTTTAGAAATATTCTCTTTAATAAAAGATAGTCTTCTTTGGGGGTTTACTGAGAGATGTACATGTTCACTAGTATGGTTTCTCATTCCTAAGATGCAAAGTCTTGTGAAGATGAGCGGGAACGATTGGGGGCTTTCGAATGGACCTTCAGCTTCTGCTTCGTGCCTCACTCTTAATTTTTTCAGCTTTAATGAGATAGAATTGACATAAAACATTGTACAAGTTGAAGGTATCAGTGGGATGGTTCGATCCATGGAGACACTGCAAACTGTTTGTCGCAGTAAGGTTAGCCAACACGTCACCCCCCTCAGGTCATCACCACCTTGTCGCTGTTATGGGGAGGACAAGTAAGTCCTCTCAGCCACTCTCACCCGCATGGTGTCACCCGCACGATGTCACCCGCACGATGCAGCAGCGCTAGCTCCAGCCGCACGCTGCAGGTTAGGTCCCTGGGACGCACCATCTCATAACTGAAAGTTCGCGCCATTTGGCCAGTGTCTCCCCTCCCCCGACCTTCGCCCCCGGAAACCACCCACCTGCTGTCTGTTTCCACGAATTGAGCCGTGCCAGACTGTGCGCACAGCGGGAACCTGCAGTATCCGTCTTTCTCTGACTCACTTATAACGCCCTCAGGGTCCACCTGTATTGCCGCAAAGGGCAGAATATCCTCTCTTTGTAGATGAATAACATTACAGTGTGTGTGTGTGTGTGTGTGTGTGTGTGTGTGTGTGTGTGTGTAAATGATGGTTACCAGAGGGAAAGGGGAGGGGAGAGAGGCAGAAAAGAGTAAAGGGGGTCCAGTTCATGGCAGTGGAAGGAGATTTGACTTGGGGCGATAAACACACAGTGTAACATATAGGTCATGTGTTACAGAATTGTGCCATCGAAACCTGTATGACTTTACTAACCAGTGTCATTCCAGTAAACTTAATAAAAAATAGAACACATGACAAGATGTTAGATATAAACCCAAATATGTCAGTAATTACATTGCATGTAAATGAACTAAATACAATTTGGACGCCACTTTAAGAAAAAAGTGGGTTACTATTTATATATCAACTAGTGTAATGCCTAGCGTACAGTAAGTACTTAATTAGTGTGAATTACCTTTCCACCTCAAATATTTGTTAAGTAGATTACATTTAATATTTATGTATATTTAAATATATTTAATATTTTGCATCTGTTTTTTTCTATTCATAAGGGTTTAGAGATGGTTTGTAAGAATATATGAAATGAAATTTTAAATTAATGAATAAAATCAAGGCCATAGGAGAGCAAAAAGATTATATTGACCAAAATAGCCTACATAATTCTGATAGAAGCCTTTCAAGTCTTAACTCTGAAGCTTTTGAAAATGAAAAATGTTTTTGTATCCTCAGATTCAGCCCTGATTGTACAATACATTTTGGAATTGTTGCTCTTTTTGACACAACAGCCCCTAGTTATTGAACTTTTACTTTCTTTTCTACATGTATCAAATTATTTTTCCCAGCCTGCCCATTTTATTATTTGCTAACATACACTTTTACCTGCTATTTGATTACTATTAAGCTCCAAACTGCAGGAAGGTAGGAGTCACTCTTATTTTGGTTATTGTGTCCTCACTATCCTGAGAACGTATTTTTTAGTTTATATGCCATGTCACTCAATAACAATAAATGGTTTCTAATGAATTAATAGCTAGTTAAATTTTTTTAATAATATATTTTCTTCTAAGAACTACACCTGCCACTTTGGTGAGTAGGAAAGGTGTACTAAATTACTGACTCGACCTGCCAGTCATTTCGCGCTGCTGTGCGCCCCTTCTGCAGTGGCCCTGTACTTGCTCCTGAACCTGGCGGAGGACACACGCACGGAGCTGAAGATGCGGAACAAGAACATCGTGCACATGCTGGTGAAGGCGCTGGACCGCGACAACTTCGAGCTGCTCATACTGGTCGTGTCTTTCCTGAAGAAGCTCAGCATTTTCATGGAGAATAAAAATGACATGGTAACTTACATTGAAACTGCATTTGCATTCTCAAGTTAAAGTGTTTTGATAGAAAGGAAACACACTGTCCCCCTGCCGAGGTAGTTCTGAATGAAAATTAAACAATAGCAGTGCACCCTCAAATGGTTTTTTAAGGAAAACCATTTCATATTACTGGAGTATTTCATATTACTTAGTACTCCAGATAGTTGAAGCTTATAGAAAAAGATAACCTTTTTCTAATATTGTACAGAATGAGTGTTTTTATATTAAACATCATGTGTAGAAAGTAATTTAAACTTAAGCCTGTGCTTCAGAGTCATCCGGCCTTGCATTTTTCCCCCTGAAGCATTGCTTTCTCCTGCATTTCTGACACCGGTGTGTGGGACTCCGGCTTACCGGGCCTTATATCCTCGTTTAGTGAGTTACCTCCTGACTTTGCAGATGAAGTAGTAGAGGGTCAGAGAGGTTAAGTGATTCCCTCAAAGAAAGATCTCTAGGTATCATGTACCCTACTCCTTTCTGCATCCAGGGCAAAAAAGATTGTCTTTATTTTATGTGTTTTTTTTAAACATTAGCAAGATTAAGTATAAGCAGTTTTTAAATGGCTGTCAGAAATGCTAAAAAGAATTACTTAAAGGCTGAAATAAGTTTACTGATAGTTGATAAGCCAACACTTTGTATAGAACATTTGATAAAGTACTAACTATATATTCCATTTAATAGATACAGAATTGAGAGGGCATTTCATGTTGAGACAATTACTAAATTTGGCTTTTGGGATTGGGCTTTTATAAACCTGAAAGACATGAGTGGAAGGCTGTGTCAAGTGTTTATGATCTGAATGGACTACCTGGCAGTCTTACATTCCATTCTGTGCAATGGAAATACAAATTAATTAATAAAACTCTCCAGGTTACTAATGATTAAGCTTTCTATAACACCAGTGTATGCTCTTGCTTTTTCAAGGGAAAAATATTACTTAATATAATTAGTAACAGATGAAGCCTGTAGCAGTTTTATTTAAAAAGGGTGGCAGGGAAGGATGGCCAATCTGTTTGTGAGGCTGTATTATATATTTAAATAATGTGTTCATTTTACTGTTGATGTGAACTAATACTGACCTTGCTTTTCAGAGTTACATATTTTAAAGGAAATTTAGTTTACTTTAAAAAATCTTTTAATTAGTCACTTAAATTATATTTTATATTTCTTAATTTTAATACAATAAAACAAAATGGTAGCGAGTCATATTAGAATATGATTTTAAGAGTAACAACCAAGAAGGTATATATCCCTTGGGTTGCTTATTTGCTTGTGAAGTTTTGAGAGTTCGTTTTATAGTTTGAATGTGTCCTTTATCAGTTACATGTTTTGTAGGTATTTTCTCCTTTTCTGTGGCTTGTCTTTTCATTCTCCTGTGAAGAGCAGAACGTTTAAATTATTAAGAAGGCCCATTATATCAAGGAATTCCATAATGGGTCATATTTCGGTGTTATGTTTTAGAAATTTTTACCTAACTCAGGTCACGAAGGTTTCTTCCTGTGTTCTCTCCGAGGAGTGCTCTAGGGTTTGTGTTGGTGCTGCTTTGCTTTGGTTCGTGACCCATCCATTTCCATTAATTCTATGCAAGCTACAAGGTGGCACTAAGCTTCACGTTCTGGGATGGGCGTCCAGCTGTCCCAGCACCGGGTGCTGAAAAGACGGTTCTTTCTGCACTGACTGGCCTCTGCGCCACCTTGGAGTTGCCTTTGTACCTTCAGAGAAAATCAGCTGCCTGTGTATGTGCTGGTCTGTTTGGGGCTCACTCTCTTCTGTTCCATTGAACCATGTGACCGCTTTCACCAATCTGTCTCTATCTTCATTACTGTAGCTTTTTCCCAAAAATTATTTATTTATTTTTAGAGGGGAAAGGAGAGAAACAGACGGGGAGAAACACTGATGTGAGAAACATCGATCGGTTGCCTCCAGCATGTACCCTCACTGGGGACCGAACCTGCAACCCAGGCATGTGCCCTGACCAGGAAGTGAACTGGCGACCTTTAGGTTTGCAGAGCAGTGCCAACCAACTGAGCCACACTGGTCAGGGCTTCATTACTCTAGCTTCATAGTAGGCTTTGAAATCAGTTTGTATAAGGCCTCAAAGGTTTTTATTCTTTCTGGCTACTTCAGTTTCTTTACTTTTCCATACTCTTTACTTAGAACCAACCAGTCTATTTCTTAAAAAAAAAAACAGAGCAAAACAGAACCTGGAATCTTGACTGGGATGGCGTTGATTCTCTTGGCAGTGCTCATCTTAGTGACCACACTGGATTCTCCAGTCCATGCACCCGATGCAGCTCTCCATCTGTTTAGGTCTTTCTTGATTCGTTCCCATGATCTCCAGTTCTAGCATGCATACTTTGCATATATTTTGTTAGATTTATACCTAAATATTTTACCATTATGAACTTAGATTTTTGTAAAAAGAAATGGTTAGTTTCCCATGACTGATTTTTGTTGAAGCGTAATTAATGTGTAATATCCTGTTAGTTTCGGGCGTACATCATAGAAGTTCAGTATTTATAGGCATTACAACATGGTCACTACAGTAAGTCCAGTAGCCATCTTTCGTGATTGACATGTATAGAAATAGAATTCATCTTTGTGTAGTGACCATGTGCCTGGGGTCTTGCTAAGTTCACTCTTCAGTTGTAGTGGCTCTTTGTGGGTTTTGGGGGGTTTCAGAACACTAGAGAGGGGCCTTTCATATGATGGTGAACAGGAATTCTGTGAGTGGGCTTCCCTGCCTTGTTACTGACCTTAGGAGGAAAGCAATGTCTTTTACTCTCAAGCATAATGTTATCTAGGTGTTTTTGTAGATATTTCATCTGTTTAAGTTCTGTTCTGTTTCTAGCTCATTGGACTTATTATGAATGGGTGTTGGATTTTGTCAAATGCCTTTTCTGTGTTGATTGAGATGATCCTATGGTTTTTAGTCTTTGGACTATTGATTAGGGAATTGTATTGATTGACTTTTAAAATTTTTTTTAAATATTTATTTATTTTAGAGAGATGGAGGGAGGGAGAAAGAGAGGGAGAGAAACATCAATTTGTGGTTGCCTCTTACATGTCCCCCACTGGGGACCCAGCCTGCAACCCAGGCATATGCCCTGACTGGGAATTGAACTGGCACTTCTTTGATTCACAGGCTGGCACTCAGTTCACTGAGCTACACCAGCCAGGGTACATTGATTGACTTTTATATGTTGGGCCGGTCACTTTCAGGGAATAAACACCACTTGATCGTGATATATTGTGTTTTTATACATTGCTACATTTGGCTAGGTAATGTAGTGTGGAGAAATTTTGTACCTATGTTTATGAGGGCTTACTAGTTTATAGTTTTCTTTTTGTATCTTGGTCTGGTTTTGCTGTTAGGGTAACTGGCCTCATAGAATGAGCTGGGAAGCAGTTTCTCTTCAAGATTTCAGGAAGGATTGTGTAGAATTGGTATTACTTGTACTTAAATGTTTAATAGAATTCACCAGGAAAAAGGCATCTGGGCCTGGAGTTTTTTCTTTGTGTTTCTTGAGCACCTGCGAGACTGCTTGGGCTCTCTGTTTCTTTTTGAGTGGCAGCTTTGGAGTATGTGTTTCTCAAGGAATTTTTCAAACATTTTTTCTTATGTCATTAAATTCCAGAGTTCTAAAGTGATTTCCCTGTTTGGTTATTGATATTGGTCATTTGTTCTCTGTCTTTTTTAGTAGTTTAGTGGTTTATCACTGTTACTGATATTTTCAAAGAACCAGCTCTTGTTCCATGTGTGATCCTTGGAAGATGTTGTCCCTAAGTGCAGAAATCTGGGCTGATGGCCCTCGGGTAACTTCTGTTTGTCTGGAAGGTCGTCCTTCCTCAGAGAAGGTGTCCTTAACAGCTCCGCACGCTGAGGGTGGGTCAGGCTCGGTCCTTATGTTCTCTCCGGGCGCGCTCCTGTCCCGTGCATTAGTCATGTGACCACGGTTAAGTAACCGTGGGGTGTCTACTCCCTGTATTCCACTCCCCCCCAGTGCACAGGCTCCACCGAAGTCTGGAACCATTTCCTGCTTGCTCACCAGTATATTCGCAGGGCTTAGCTAAGAAATATTTGTAGAATGAACGAACAAATCTGGAAAAGAATTTATTCATTGTAATCAATGAAGCTAGTGACAGAGCTACCGTTCTGAGTAAACGTGACACATTCTGTCACTGGCCCCTGTGGATCTCGTTGTGGGAAGTTAATGAATGAGTATTTAACAAGGTAAACCAGGAGAAAGGGAGACACAAGTCAGAGAGTCTTTTGAAAGAGTTGTGTTCACTTCCTGGCATGGGATGAAAGGGGGGAGGTGTATCTAGGGCTCAGTTATTGGTGTGGCGTTTCCAAGGTCAGTGAACAACTGCAGAGAGATAGGGAAAAGGTGATATAAAGAAATGCTTTATACTTCTAATAAAAGAAAAATTAGAGCAAGATTATTCATAAACGTTCTAGTAATGATCAAAAGTTACATAGTTATATAGAATTCCCTTTTTAGCCATTGCATTGTAACAAAGATACAAATTTTTTTAACCAAATTTTTCTGGTTGCTACCATAAATATGAATGCAGGGCTTATATTGCTAAATAAGTTCTGTCCCCTGTGATCCATGCTCTAAGGCGGGCTCTCTGAGAGCAGCGTTACAGTCTTCTGGAGTTGGCAGGGTCAGCAGACTTCTATGCAAAGGGCCAGTAGCCAGCACTGCAGGGCTGTGGTTCCCACGGTCTCTGCTGCTACCCCCAGCTCTGCCACTGAGCTCCGCAGCCGCTGCAGGCAGTCTGCACGCCAGTGAGCACAGCTGTGGTCCGGTCAGATGGGGTGTGTGGGGACTGCAGCTTGAATTGCACGTAATTTTCATGTGTCACGAACACTTGTCATTTAATTTTCCCAACCATTAAAGAAATGTAAGAATCAAAAAGTGTCTTTAGCTCTTGAGTTGTATGGAATGTGATGAAGCACAGTTGGCGACCCTCGACCCGGAGTTTCCCCTGTTCCTCGCAGCCCAGGCTCTCTCCCGAGCGTTAGCAGATCTCCCAGGAGCCTCGGACTATCTCCTCAAGTTAAACGTGACCAGAGTGAACGCGGTCCTCACCCTCCTCCTCCTGCACCTGTTTTCAGCATGCCGAGCTCAGTCCCTGGGGCCCACGTCTGCCCGACTGGCCGTGTGCAAAAGGGGCCTGCGATCACGCTCCCCACACGGGCCATCTCGCAAGTGCGGCCCGTCACTCGTGCCCGTGGGCTGGCTGCAGTGCTTCCACTCTCCCCTCTGTGAGCCTGGTTTCCTGTGGCCCGAACTGCTGCCCAGTGACGCGGTGTGTGCCTCACCTCACCTGTTGGTGTTTTGGTGCGTGCGGGCCAAGTGTTCCTGCCCCCAATGAGCACCTCGGCACCGCCTCCGTCTCCCCTCCACTCTGGGAGAGAGCATTCCGGAAGCTTCCACCGGGTTTCCTCCGGACTTTGCCTCCAGGGGCCGTTTGATCTTATTCTCCGTCCTTTTGCTGTAATAGATCGGAGCCTTGAACGTGACTCTAGGCCAGTCTCGTGAGTCCTAGCAGGTCGCTGGACCTGCGGGCGGTCTCAGGACCCTCAACCCTAAGTCCTCTTCAGTGCTTCCTCTTCGTGCCTCACGCATAGGGTGTGACCGTGCTCTCTACCAGCTCCCGGATGCTCTCTCCTCGGCAGTCTTGACGCCCTTTGTTTGACCCAGACCCTGATTCTAGTGCAGCCTATTCGTCAGTGCTCACCTTCCACCTCCCCCTGTGCAGCGCCCCCTGTGCATTTGTCGGTGTGTGTCATGTGTGCACACAGGTGTGTATGCACTGGTGCACTTCATGTTACTGGTCTGAGCGTGTCACCGCTGAGCTTAGAATCATTCCAGGCACTCCCTGCCCTCAGAATAATGTTCCACCTCTTAGCAGAGCCTCCACAGCTCACCTCGGTCTGCCCAGTGTCTGCCCTTGGGAGTGCCTGCCACCCCCTGACACACACGTCACACAGTAGCCAGAGCACAGCAGTCCCCACCCAAGCTTTCATGCCCGAGTGTCTGTCCACTGAAGTCTCTTCTGCTCTTCCAGAGCGCTTGGTGCACCCCACTTTTATTGCATGGTGGTATTTGTTCAGTTCGTCCGCTCTTTTTTCAGACTGGAGTCCCGGAAGGCCAAGACAAGGTGTCGTTCGCGCTGGCCCAGGGCTGGCACTTAGTCGGTGGCACTCACTGTGTGTTCAGGAACCCGGTGTCGTTTGTCTTCCAGTTGATGCTGTTCTGCGAAGGAATGAAGGATGATGTGGGAGTGTATATTTTCTCCTCAAACGCGTATAGATTAAAATGACTTCGGGTTAACACAGTTACTTCAGGGACAGTGAAAAGGCGATTATTTGTAATCATTTTGTCTCTCTGTGCAGCAGACCCTCACTGTACCCGCGTTGTCATTATACGTAGGTGGAGATGGATATTGTTGAAAAGCTGGTGAAAATGGTCCCTTGTGAGCATGAAGACCTGCTGAATATCACACTCCGGCTGCTACTGAACCTGTCCTTTGACACAGGACTGAGGAATAAGATGGTACAAGTTGGACTCCTTCCCAAACTCACCGCACTCCTAGGTATGTTTGTTAAAAAGCAATGATAGTGTTGCTTGGAATGTCCAACATCCTTGGGAAATTGAGCTGCATGTTGAAAGTCGGCTGAACAGAAATTGTTCTGTGTTTTTTTTGTTGGGAGCTTAAAAATGAACGAATGCAAAATGGCCTGTGCTGGGATTCCCGTGGTGCCGTGGAGCGCACCGGCGTAGAGACTGTTAACTCGGACTTCATCCACCCACGTGAAAGGGAAACCAGAGCGCAGCTCTGAGTGACGACCAGGGAAGCCAGAAGAGAAAATTATTTTCTCTTCAGCAGTTTTTAAAAATGCACATATGATTTCAGTTCTTACATGCTGCCATGCTTTTAAAATACTGCTGACAACTGCAGAAACTTGGTGAGGCTTTTGGTCATTGAGTAGAAAAGGATGTTTTTATAGAGTGTGAGTTAGAAGATACTGTGTTGGAGAATTCGGTTTATAGATCATTTCTTTTAGCTGTTAGCAGGATCCCTGTATGGTGAGGATGGGTGCTAAGGCCAGTTCTTCTGTGCTCTCTCATAAAGCTTCTTAGCAGTGTCGTGCACCCGTGACCCGTTCACTGTCTGCCCTCGGAGGCACCTGCTGCTCTCTGCCACGTGCTTTACTGTGCACCGTGTCCACACTGAGCCCTCACAAGACCCTGAATGAGCTCGTTCTATGCCGAGCGCCTGCTCATCCACTTTTGCCTTCTACAGGAATGCCAGTGTCTTCACTAACCAGGAAGCACATTCTTACTTACTTTTAAAGACTGTTTGTTTCAGTACTGCAGTTTCGTTCTTGTTTTGTAACAGTTTCCAATGGTAATGGGATGGGAGTGGAATGATTTCAAAGTTAAATGTATTCTTTGCTGTCTGGTATCTATGGGTCCAGTCTCGTATTGACATCATCATTATTCCCTTTGTAATACTAGCACTGAGATCTATTAAACGTTCACTGTGCCAGGCAGTTAGCTCCGGGCTTCAACTGCATCGTCTCATGGAATCCCCCTCTGAGGTCTGGACTCAGGATTACACTGCTGGCAAAAAGCAGACAACTTCCAGCTCAGGGCTGTAGCTGCCCACGTTGGATATACTAACCACTCCAGTAAACTGCTATGTACAGTGGTAGGAAGTGGGCTACGGTAGAGTAGGCCGCGCTCCAGTAAAACCTCCACTTCTCCAAGTCTCCTTAAAAATAAGTTTTAAGGAAGCTAAACAACAAAACAAACAAGCAAGCAAAATATAACCAAGGACACTGAAATAGAGAACAGGCAGACAGTGACCAGAGGGGAGAGAGGAGGGAATTTCAGGGGGAAAAGGGAAGGGTTTGCAGGAACAAGTATAAAGGACACATGGACAACGACTGGGGGGGTAGAAATGGGAGGGAGGTGGGGAGCACTGGGGGGCATGGGCTGCGATGGGAGTAAAAGACAGAAAACTGTACTTGAACAACAATTAAATAAATTTTAAAAAGTGTAAGGGAAAAAAATAAGTTTTAACTGCCCTGGCAGGTGTGGCTCAGTGGATTAAGTACCAGCCTGCAAACCACTGTTTCGATTCCCACTCAGGGCACAGGCCTGGGTTGCAGGCCAGGTCCCCAGTAGGGGGTGTGTGTGAGGCAACCGCACATGGATGTTTCTCTCCCTCTCTTTCTTCCTCCCTTCCCCTCTGCTTAACAATAAATAGATAAAATATTTTTAAAAGGTTTTAACTTATTCCTTACTCTTTTCTAAGAATAGGAAAACTCCTGGTGTATTAGTTCAAGGATGTCTGGTTAATTGGCCACAAACATTGCACAGGACCTTCTATTGCACATTTTAGAAGAAGAAACTGTCGAGGAGAATTTCGAAAATTGTTTCTGGGAAACCGAAGTAATACAAACATTTTGTGAAGAAACAGAAAAATTTTTAAAGTAAAATTGATGGGTCTTGAATTAAGATTGTGACCCTCCATTTATCATAAATCTAACAGAATTATATATCAAATATTAGGCCAGATTCTCAATGTAGGAAGATGAAAAAACTGCCGTCCTGGTCTTGAAGGAGAGCATAGTCCATTTGGTTCAGTATCCAGTCACCTGCTTTTGTGAAATATGATTTTAAAGGGATTTTTGGGAAATTACAGGATACTCACTTTGTATTTTGTTAACAAACATCCCTCTCTTTTGTTGCTCAGAAGCATTAAATTTTAACTTAAGCATTTCCTTTTTTCCCCAAATGTTCATGTACCTTTTGCTTAATAACTTTCGCTGGCCCTTCACTTTGATTCCACTTACAAACCATAGACGCAGTGGCGATCACCCACAGTAAACAGAACGTCTGCCGACGTCCCCGGGTCAGGGCGGGGGAGACGCCCCACTGAAGGCAGGTTGGCGTCCGCTGGAGAAGTGGTGCCTTGGGTTTCTGTGCAGTGCTCCCGAGTGCCCACAGGTTTGCATCTGCCGCTCATTTCACATTCTCCTAATTTAATCATTGTAATGGCACTGTTACTTCCTACTCTTTTTCATTTAAAGTGTGGGCTTTAATAAGCTTCCATAGGCGCTTTATGGGGTGAGCCGATGAATGAAAAACAGGTTTCAGGTTCTAAGTAGCTGATTCCATGTGAACTTTTGGAATATAACCATGTTGTAAACTTTATTTTATCATGTCCCCAAAATGGCCCTTTTATCTATCACTTCCCAGGGAAACCCTATCTGGTAAATGTGTCAGGAGGACAAGGCCCTGATTATTAATAAACAACCCTAAGACCTCAGTAGCTCAGAAAAGAGCAACGGTTTATTTCTTGCTCACATTTTATGTCCGTCGCCGGTGAGTAGGAAGTGCTGGCCCTTGGTAGCATCAGTCATGGGCACAGGCCGGTAGAGCAGGAGCCGGGAAAATGGCAAACTTCTCTTAAAGGCTTCCACTGAAGTGATAGTGTTTTTATTTTCATTGCTAGTGATGGAAACAAGTCACATGGCCGTGCCACGTATGAGGGGGTGTGTAAGTGCCTGGAAGGGTTAGAATCGGAACCTTGGCGAGCAAGCAGCCTAACGATCCTGGAAGCTGTTTTTCAGATTTTCTGAATTTTAGCTGGGTTTCCAGGATAAACTGAATCTCTTAAAAAGTATACCCTGACACACTATAGCGAATACTTCTGTATGTTCTGTATCTAGCACATCGATTAACAGCTGGAATCATACAACGGTGTGACCGCGTGTTGCCTTCCTCAGTTACCAGCCAAGTGATACAAGTGGCTTAACCCATCCATCAGTTTTCTCACCTCTGCCATGTGGACAGTAATTGTACATATTAACAGGGAAGGGTTAAATGAGATAATGCAGTAAATGTTAGGGAATTATGTACATGTGAAATGATGATGAAAATGTATAGAATAGAGACAGTAGATCTCTAGAAATGGGTCTTTTTCTAAGTTTTCCAGGCTTACACTATTAGGGGTATTTGATCATTTTGTATTCAGGTTTTTAAAATCAATTACATTCTTCTTTTGTTAAATTTATTCTTAAATTTGCCTCAATGATACGAGGATAATTTAAATTTGTCCTGAGGAGCAGTGTAGTGAAGTAGTTAAAGCCACAGACTGTGGGGCCAGAGGGCCTGGCTTCAGGTACTCTGTGAGTCCCAGCCGTTACTGTTTTCGTTATCACTGATTCATGTTTGTGAGTCTGGAGACTATTTATCACACAAGGCTGCAGGTATTACTGTGCTGGAGTATTTGCCTTTTCTAAATGGCCTCTGAATGGCCCTCGCTGGTGTGGCTCAGTGGATTGAGCACCGGCCTGGGAACCAAAGGGTTTCCAGTTCAATTCCCGGTTGGGGCACATGCCTGTGCCCCACAGGCCAGGTCCCCAGTAGGGGGTGTGTGAGAGACAACTACACATTGGTGTTTCTCTCCTTCTCTTTCTCCCTCCCTCTCCTCTCTCTAAAAATGAATAAATAAAGTCTTTTTAAAAAATGGCCCAGAATGGCATGCATTTTTAGTGTTTTCATAGAGTTCTCCTGTGTCCCATCTTGTCCTTGGCTGTCACTGCTCATTTCCTCTTCACCAGCAGCAGTTCTGTGGCTCCAGCTTTCCTCTCCTCTGATGACATCGTTCTGATCTCCTGGGGGCTTGGAAACTGACGGCCGACCTTATTTGAAGTGGATGTTTTGTGAAAAGTGCATTCCAAATGAGTGCCTGAGGGTTCCCTTCCTAGTGGCGTTGGTTGCATGGACTTTGTGGTGTTTCTTCTGACTGCGAAGAAACCCATTTTGCTTGATTGTGCTGCCTGCCGTGTTAAAAAAAAGGCATTCCATGCATAAGTGGTTTCCTGATAAGCGGTTATTAGGAAGGTCTCTTTACATTTGTTCATGTGAATGTTACTTGTGCGGAAATTAAATCATTAATATCTAATAGTATTTAATATATTTAATATCTCTGATCTTGGCCATTACTTTTATTTACAAGTTGTAGTAAGGAAGCATTTTAGAGAACATATTTTAAAGGGATAGGAAATAAATCATCTCGAGCAGAAGCTTTCAAACATCTTTAACTCAAACTATAGTCAGATACGTTTTACATTACAGTCCAGCACTCACATGTGTGAGGTGTGTATGTATGTGTGTATATCCATGTGTGTATGTGTATACATGTGTATACGTTTTATTTTTGATACCTATTATACATTGTTTTTATATCTAATTTTTTTAATGTTCACAAAGAAGGATTTACCATTTCTGTGTGTAATGTGCTATACTTTTCCATTTTTTATTTTGCTGTGACTCACTGATTTTATGTTCTGTGACTTTGCTGTTCAGGTGAAAACTAGTGAAGGAGGGGAGTGATTAGGCCTCTTTCCCTTCAAACCTTCAGAGGTCGCTGTCTCTGCTGGACTTTCACTGTGTCGAACAGTCGATAGTCTAAGCTATTCTATGTGATTCTTCAGCACAGACTTGGAGTGATTATGTGGTAATGAAAATTTTTTTGAAATGGGTAAAAAACCTTCTGTAAATCTGATATGTGAAGGA